CAACACTGAAATCACCATACCCAGAGTAGGTATGAATTCATGGTATGATTAAAAAGTCCCAGGCTAGAAATCTCTCTAATAAATCTATTACAATACCTAGAGTAAAAACTTCATTGCTTTTTTATTGCTCAGTAACTTTATTGCTCAGTAACTTCAGATGTATCCAAGTATACATCTGACAGCCAGAGTATATCTCAAAACAGCGGCTGACGTAGCTCTACGTGGTCACATGAGGACAGCTCCAAAAGGGACAGGCTGAGCCCTGGACCCTCTGGGCAGAGGGGAAACAGGCCAGCCCTACATCCTGCTCCAGTGAGGACAGCCACAGAGTCCAGGGCACAGGGTCCATGGCGAGGACCAGCTCAAGCTCAGGCAAGGCTACAACAAACGTCAGCCCCAGGACAGCCACTCCAGCAGGCCAGAGTTGAGGCATCTGATGCTAAAATAGGAGTTACTGAGCTGCATTATAAGATATTTATCTTTCATCCTTGCTGGTGGCTAAGAGAATATAAAGCAGAAATTTAGCCTAGGAAGAAAGAAAAAAAAAAAAAAATCCCAAGCCTAAAAAAGACTGGGGTTAAAGGAAGGGTTGCCAGGCTGACTGTTAAGTGGGAATCATGGCAGAGACCCAATCCCACAGCCAGGGCCAACATGGTAGAACAGGGAGTCCTTGGGCCCAGAAGTCACTCCCACCATGACCTAAGGCTAAGTCCTACCAGCTGGTGAGACAGGGGCTGCTGACAAACCTCCTTTCCAGATCCAGATTAGCTCAGGCACCAGAGCGAGCTTGTCAGCCTAGACAGGGCCCATGAGTAGTGGGAAGCCAGGCAGGAAGACACATGCTGCCTTTACCCAGATTCAGCACTATCCTCATCTCCTAAGTGACCTGCCAGGAGCCCAGGGAGGATTACCAGCTAATCTAGTGTCTACTACGTGACCTTGTCCAGTAGGGGACATACCATGAAGTGTGCCTTCCATGGTGCCAAGCGGGATTAAGTCATTTTATTGCCAGAATTCCTCTTTTAAAATATAAGAGTCTTGGGCTTCCCTGGTGGTGCAGGAGTTAAGAATCTGCCTGCCAGTGCAGGGGACATGGGTTCGAGCCCTGGTCCAGGAAGATCCCACATGCTGCGGAGCAACTAAGCCCCTGTGCCACAACTACTGAGCCTGCGCTCTAGAGCCCGCGAGCCACAACTACTGAAGCCCGCACGCCTAGAGCCTGTGCTTCGCAACAACAGAAGCCACCGCAATGAGAACCCTGTGCACCGCAACGAAGAGTAGCCCCCGCCCGCTGCAAGTAGAGAAAGTCCGCGCGCAGCAACGAAGACCCAACGCAGCCAAAAATAAATAAATAAAATAAATTTATAAAAAAAGATTAAAAAATAATAAAATATAAGTGTCTTTATAAGGTGAGGAAAAACACAAAATCAATTATCCATTAACATCTTGGTCTTTTTTTTTTTTTAATAGGGATAGGGATACCAGTCATCTAGGCACACTGAGAGAATCAAAAGTTTAACTTTTTTTTTTTTAATGTTTTGGGATTTCCTGGGGGCATGGTTTAGAAGAATAGAGAGAATCAAGATACAACTTGATTCTTCTCTAAAAAATGACACCCAGGGACTTCCGTGGCGGTCCAGTGGTTAAAACTCAGGGCTTCCACTGCAGGGGGCATGGGTTCTATCCCTGGTGGGGAAACTAAGATCCCACATGCCACACGGCACAGCCAAGAATAAAATAAAATAAAATGGCTAGGTGTCTATTAAAAAATAAAATAAAAATTAAAAATAAATAAACAAAAAATGACACCCAGAATATAAATTAAAAGCAACTAACCGGGATCAATCACCAAAGAAGTCCTCTGAAGTAGCTCAAAGTTTACAAGTGAAACACAAAAGGTAACCAAACAAACAAGAGGAAAACCAAGAATCTCTGAAAAGACCAAAACAAGAAAACCTTTTATAAAATAACATCAGTTCATTCAGATCAATCAGGATAGACCTCTCGGCCAAAGAGAAAGCCATTCCTCCCCATTCGTTTACAAAGCCTCCCAAGAGAAGACCACCAAACCTGTACAAATTAATTAATAACTGCGACTGAAAGGAGTAAAAAGTCAGAAGAGGTTATTGTATACACATACATACATAAGCACCACATTTTCCTACATTCTAATTCTTCAAAGTTCAAACATGCCTTTACAAAAATTTAAATGGACTATTTAAAACCTTGTTAAAATTACTCCGACACTGGAGAAGCACTGGGGTCCTGGAAAATAGGCCTCTGGGTCCATTCGCATTTTTTACATTAAAACTGAAGGCATTTCAAGTCTAATATACTCTTTCCAGGATTTAAAAAAAAATAGGTTTCCAATTAATTAAGTCCTAATTTAATTTCATAATTAAAATACAGCCATCAAGTTAATTTAACACAAAGTTTAAGGTCTCAAATAAAGAAGGCTGTTAACTAACAACTCCTTTAAAATATACCATTTCCTCCACGCCTTACGTATATAGATATTGCTGAAACTTACGGTGTAGTGCATTTTCCATAACATATGTGGATTTTAAAAGTGAGTTTTATGAGATGTAAAATTACAAAGTGAAGAAGGAAATGATAAACTCCAAATTCAAGGTTTATCGGTGAGCGGAGGTTGGGGATGAGCTAGGATTGAGAGGAGCACCCAGGGGTCCTCAAAGGCCATGTAATTTTTTTCTTTTTTTTTTGCAGTACGCTGGCCTCTCACTGTTGTGGCCTCTCCCGTTGCGGAGCACAGGCTCCAGACGCACAGGCTCAGCGGCCATGGCTCACAGGCCCAGCCGCTCCGCGGCATGTGGGATCTGCCCAGACCAGGGCACAAACCCGTGTCCCCTGCTTTGGCAGGCGGACTCTCAACCACTGCGCCACCAGGGAAGCCCCATGTAATATTTTTTAACTGAGTGATGGGGAGACAGGTGTTCACTGTACCATTGTTCTTCACACCTTACTTATATTTTGTAATCTTACTTAAAATATTCAGTAATTAACAAAAACTATTTAAAAAGTGAGTTTGTGTAACTGCCACTGTGGAAAGTATACAGAACACTATGTAAATCAAACTCTCTCTTCAGGATATTTTTTTCAGTAGCAGTGTTACTCAACAAGAAGTAAAACAATTGAGAGGACTTCATTTGTGCAGTAGCCAACCTATCGTTCCATTTGACCACTTCCACAGAATTAACGTATTAACGTTATTTTTCCAAACTTCAGCACAGATACACTGAATTTTTTCCTGCTCCGCAATGTTTCATACTGCTCACTTAAAAATATATATGTTTTTCTTTTTTTTCTTCAACATCATTGTAACTTTCACCATTTGGTAAAAATAACTTTTCTTGTTCTTTGAATGAATCAGAAGAAATGAAAACGGGGTCACATCTCTTTGAACAACATACAATCATACTATTTACAACACCTACAATGATTATAAAATTAAATTAAGTATTTCAGTAGTAACAGGCTTTCAGCTCTGCCTGTTTTGTTATTTCCAACTATGTGTTGCCAAGAGGAACCTCTAAGTCAAATACCATGAAAAGATATCGGACACCCTAGTATTTCTTTTAACATCTCCCCACTTCTATGTTATATATTCTGCTTTCAATCAAGTGGTAGAAACATTTTACCTACTTCAGTTTGGCTTTGTTCACACACCTGGAGTATTTTATTTTGTAAGAACAATCCAACCTGAAAATTCCTGCGGTCCTCAAAGGCCAGCTTTTTTCAGTATTTCAAAAAGCCCGGAACATACATTTACCTGTAATTTGGCCATGCAAGGAAATGAAAATATTTTTGCTTTTTCCACTGGGATTTTCCCAGGCCTTCGTAAGTCACCCAGTTATCTCATGTTGATCAAATATTCAGACATATGTCATTAATAAAAATATTAGAAGAATTAGTCATGATTACTTATCATGTGGTCTGGAAAATCATTCAAAATATGAGGTCCATGGGGCAAAATAATAAAAGTAGTTTCTTTATTACCGGCATTTGTGTTTTTACTAGTTATATTGGTATTTGAAAAACAGCAACAACAAATTCTGGAGATCCCTGAGTTGGGGTAGGTCTAACTATCACTGCTATAAAAAATTAAGAATGTCAATTTCCTAACTCTGTTAAAAATTTACAAGTCAACTTTCTTTTTTCCTTCTTTTTTTTTTTTTTGCCAGTTCAGTTCTCTGCTCCTCAATCTCTGTAAAAAGTAGACTGTCATGGGAGGTGTTGAGAAGAAATAAGTGTTTCATCTCACATCTTCCTGCTACAAGCCAGGCTGATAGCACTAGGACTGTTTCTCTTTTCTATAGCTTCCAACGTTCCTTAAAATCAAAATAAGACACCTCCCCCCCAAAAAAAACTACTGTCCTTATAAAATTAAATACTCCAGGTGTCTGAACAAAGCCAAAGTAAAAAGGATGACTTTAAATCAATAGTCTTTAAAAACAAACTAAGCCAGCCTTCCAAATAATCCCCTTTGGCCATGCAGGACAGCCCAGGGAACAGGTGCAAGGCGTGCCTTCCTAGAGGCTGTCCCCTTCTTCATGAGTCTGACCTTTCCCAGCCGGCCGCTCTGGCACCCCACGAATCAGTTATCAGGAAGCCTAAAGCCTGCTTTCCCATCTGCACTTTCCAAATGGCTCCCAATGCCAAGGGCTGAGATATGACCTGGCTCTCTGATGAGAACAGGCCTCCCAAGTGACTTGCCAACTTTCCCTGGAAGCATTTCTAAATGTATTCTCTGAGCTCCCTCCTCACCCTCTCAATCGTGTTCCATTTCTCCCTCCTTCCCTGCACTTCCTAACTCCATCTCCTCAACCAGTTCCTCCAGTGCCACATGCCTGCAAACCAAACTCCTTTCCCACTTTCAGGACCTGCCAACCCCCACCCAGCCTAAAACCCCAACTTCAAATCCAAAGGGCACAGTTCCAACAATCTTGGAGGTGGTCTGGAATGATCTTTTTGAGGCCTACCTGCAGGCAGCTCAACCATGGCTTCTTCTCTTGCCTTCTCCAGTTTCTCCCTTACCCAGGGGAATTCTTGCAGGGAATCTAGGAAGGCATCGAATGCTTTAGGACCCCTGGTAGGTAGGATATCCAGCAGCAGCATTGTTTTCCGGAGGCCTGTGGCTTGAGCTTTAATTTCTTGAACGTGGCTTTCCGTCAAGACCCCTTCCTGGTAAAGATACTGGAGGACCAGTCCCTCCACCAGTACCTCTGCACCCAGCTCGAGGCGAAGGGAGCGAAGCACTTGCTTGTCTCTAGCCTCCATCTCTCCCTGGGAAGACACAAAATGGTAGCTCAGATCACAGGAAGCCTGATGAGCCCCTAAAGATAGTGTCTTACAGTGCAAGCTCCTTAAGGTCACGGACATCTTTGAACCCTAGCAGAACGCCAGGCCATGGTGTTTAATACACGGCTGTTAAGCCAAGCTGAATTAATTTCGAATGCTTCAGAACATGAATCATCTTCTCTGCTTTTACTTTCCACAAATGGGGTCCTAGCTCCATTCCTTGTTCCATAAAGAGATTTGGGGAGAAGTGGATGAGAGACCCTGCTTAAAAGGCAACTTTTGGGGCTTCCCTGGTGGCACAGCGGTTGAGAGTCTGCCTGCTAATGCAGGGGACACGGGTTCGAGCCCTGGTCTGGGAGGATCCCACATGCCGCGGAGCAACTAGGCCCTTGGGCCACAACTACTCAGCCAGCGCGTCTGGAACCTGTGCTCCGCAACAAGAGAGGCCGCAATGGTGAGAGGCCCCCGCACCGCAATGAAGAGTGGCCCCCGGCTTGCCGCAAGTAGAGAAAGCCCTCGCACAGAAACGAAGACCCAACACAACAAAAATAAATTAATTAATAAACTCCTACCCCCAGCATCTTCTAAAAAAAAAAAAAGCAACTTTTACCTGAGGATTACAGAGGAGCATTTCATTCTAACATACTTGAGAAGAAATAGTGCTTTTCCTTTAACATTGCGTTCATCAGAGATACCCCATTACCGCAGAAACCGCCAATATGCACACAAGTGCCCTTAAGACCGCGGGCATCTGCAGAACCTGATCATCAATGGAAGTGGGGCAATAAACCGGCAGGTACCAATAAGTTTAAGGATCTTTTTCCCTAAGAGAAAACGCCTATACACCGTTGCCTTCAAGGAGAACACTAGGCATTCATGCCCAGTCTACAGTAAATCTTATATATAGTCACAGACTCCAGCCCTCCTCTGGAAGAATTTCGAATCTCCATCACAACACTGTCATAGCCACACATGCACGGGACGTTTAATGTTGTGCTTTTTTTTTTTCCTTTAAAAGATTTTTTTTTAATGTCCACACGCCATGGAAGGCTTGTTTCTAAGACCACTGCACCAGTGAGCAGAGGGACGGCTAAGAGGGTATGTAAGTGGCGGGGAGGGGAGACGGGGGGCGGCAAATGGGGCTTTATGACACCCACAGAAAGTAGAGCCACAGCGGGCGACCCCGAGAGGCGGCAGGTGAGCAGGAAAATGTGCCCTTTGGGCTGTCCCCGCCGATGTGGAACTTTTTATTTCCCGCCTCGCCAGCTGAAGCCCTGTGGCATTAGGAACGGGAAGAACTATGAAAGATTTTAGGGGCCACCTGACCCGCTATAAAGCGGGTGCTGGGAATGGCCTGCAGAGAAGACCGAGGGGAGAGCAGGGCCCCGAGCACCTCCACCGCCACCCCAGCCCGAGCGGCTCGGGAACGCCGCGAGCAAGTTAGCGGGCGGGGGAGCCACGCAGGGCCCAGGCCACAGACGCCGCGGCGCGGGGCCTTCGAGAAAAGATGCATACGGGGGTTCTGGGATCCTGTTACTTACGTCTGCAAACACGTATCCTAAGGAAAAAAAAAAAAAAAAACTGCAACCGGACTCCAAAGTGTCAGGGAACCTGTACCGTAAACACCATTTTTGTTGAAGGCAAAAGCCCCGAACAGGAAGTATTGTCGCCATCTTTGTTAAGGGCAAACACAGGAAGTGCTGTGGCCATCTTTATTGGTGGCCCAGATATCAGGATGAAGCCTTTTCCGCCATGTTTGCTGTGGGTAGAGAATATAACCACCTGGAGATGGAAAATAGCATCATTTAGGGAGTTATCTAAGGAAAGGAGTAATTGGATAATTGCATTTTAACACATGAACTCCACCAGGGACTTGTACCCAATTGACATAATAGTCGGGTCTCAAAAGTCACCTTATCAGGGAAGCCTTCCATGACCACTTGTATTTAAAACTGCAGTACCCACCACCACGGTATTTAAACTCACAACATTCACCTCCTGCGCTCCACATCCCCTTTTCCAGCTTTATTTTTACCTGAAGGACATATCAGTTACTAAAACTTTTACTTAATTATTTGTTTATCATCTGTTTTCCCCCCACTAAAATGCAAGTTCATTCCTCTATATCACAGGGGTCCTGCCCAAAAAAAGTGTACAAATCAATCAGTCAGGATTCAGTTACAGCAATCAACCAGTTATTCTGCACAGATAGGGATTTGTCATGAGGAATTAGGGACATTAGCAGTAAGTGTGTCTGGGGCATGTAGTTTGGAGTTGGAAGGCAAGATAAATGCCTGCTCCAAATATATAAAGAGAAAAGAATGTTAAATTGAGGGTCCTTACTCAGATTCCTTTATGAAATGAGGCAATCAGTAAATACATTCATTAAATCACTTTTAAGTCAATTGGGTGACATACACAGAAAGTTGTACACCTGCTAAAAGTGGTTGACAGTAACAGAAGAAAACCTCAAAAATCATTATTTCTATAGAGGTTTTTCATAGCCAACACTTCTAGTGGAAGATGAAAATATCTTTGTAAGCAAATCAATGGAAAGCACTTCTAAACCTCCCTCCTCAAAACATTCTAACTTTTGTAACAAGTTTAAAGGGTTACTATACCAATATGCCATTTTACTATGCCAGTGACAATATTTTTACATTGGGTGGCAAGTATTATTATTATCATTAGCATTTTACACGTTCCACATGTGAGGACCGTGGAATCAAAGTGGTCAAGTGTCTTAGCCAAAATCTCAAAGCTAATATATAGCAAAACCTGAATTATAACCAGGTCCCTCTGATTTCATGCCCTTTCCAGTACACAGTACATGACACACCCCTGTATGGTGAAGTGTCTACTATTCTAATGACAACCAAAATATTAGTAAATCATTCTGGTGCCACCTCCTATTCTTGATACTCTTGAGTTCCAGGTACTCTCTTCACTCTCACCGTCTTCTTTCACTCTGGAACTGCCATCCTTTCCTGGGCAAGATTTTCCTCCTGTTGGTGGACAGGTGTTAGCAATATTCTGTCTTCATCCAGATAAAGTACAAACCTCTTGCGATAGTGTCAATAGCTGAGGTTACTGACTTTGGGGGAAGGAAAAAAAAAGGATTTTTTCCAACTGTAAACTTTGATAACTTTCAAACAAATAGCAAAGTTGAAACAAATAACACCAAAAACACCCATATAAAACTACATATTTTAAAAATGCTTCTTAATGACTCATTGTATTTGGAAAGGCTTGAGATCTCCTAGGAAAGAGAAGGAGACATTGCTGATGACGTACAGGGGGAGGTGGTAAGCCAACAGTGGGTTCCATGAGAGCTCACAGAAGAGAAGAGAGTGAGAGATGGCATGAGCAGAGACAGTGCAGGAGCTGAGGCACATGGAGTTCTTACGGTGAAGAACTTGAGAGGTTGGCTATTAAGGATCTCACCTAAAACCATAAGGTGAAGCCCTTGGCCATCAAATTCCCCTTTTGGAAAATCGAGCTAAGCATCCATGCTGCCCCCTAAATGACTAGGCTGGCTCTCTGATTGGCTAGCCAGCTGCTATCAATCAGCCTGTTGGAGGACCACCACCCCACCCTAGCATATAATGATAGTCTGAGTAGCACGCCAAAGGCTCAGCTTCACTTTTATAAATATCCAAGGCCAGCAGGTCCTGAAGGAATCAAACACAGATCAGAATCACTAACACAGGTGGTTGCTCCTTCACTCCATCTAGTTCCTCTCTATAGGCTGGAATTATGCCCCCACAGAGGATTAAGCACCTGTTACTCAGTGGTAACAAATCTGTTTTCAGGAAGGACAGATATTTTCCTTTTTCTCTGTCCCCTACGTGCTTTCTTGTGTCAAGATATACCCATTGTGAGTTTGCCAAAGAAAGAGTCAAAAAGAACAAGTGTTGTATTTTCTTTCATTTTGGTCTTTGGTTTGGCAACCTCCAAAACAAAAATCAAAGGAGTTGGATATTTTTGGTTCTTCTTGTTTCATAGATGTGGAAATTATGCCATGGAGAAAAACAGATTCTTTTCAAGCATATGTGAAACAGTTACAGAAATAGGTCATGAATTAATTCACAAAGAAACTTCAATAAATTCAAAAAATCAATAGCCTACAAACTATGTACTCTATCATTTTACAGTAAAATTGGAAATTTTAACAAAAGAATAGCTTCCTAAATCCCATAAGTTTGGAGACTAAATAAAATACCCTTAAACTCTTGAGTTTAAAAAAAAGTCACACATTTCTAATGGTATAGCCATATGGAAAACAGTATGGAGAGCCCTCAAAAATTAAAAATAGGACTATCATGTGATCCAGCAATTCCACTTCTGGTTATAGATACAAAGGAAATGAAATCAGTGTCTCAAAGAGATGTCTGCACTCCCATGTTCATTGCAGCATTACACACAAGAGCCAAGATATGGAATCAACCTAAATATTCATGACAGATGAATGGAAAAAGAAAATGTGATACATATATACATAGATAGATATAAATATCATTCAGCATAAAGAAATGTAATATAAATTTATATATATAATACATAATATATATATTGTATATATATAATTCAGCCTTAAAAAAGATGGAAATCACATCTATTAGAATGGCCGGGGCTTCCCTGGTGGCGCAGTGGTTGAGAGTCCGCCTGCCGATGCAGGGGACACGGGTTCGTGCCCTGGTCCGGGAAGATCCCACATGCCGCGGAGAGGCTGGGCCCGTGAGCCACGGCCACGGAGCCTGCGCGTCCGGAGCCTGTGCTCCGCAACAGGAGAGGCCACAACAGTGAGAGGCCCCTGTACCGCAAAAAAATAAATAAATAAGGAAACAAATAAAATTGATAATTACAAATTATTGTAAATGCAATAAAGGAAGAGTGCTTTGATAAGAAAAACCAGTCCAGGGGGCTGGAGGAGGGGAGCTGATTTCAATGGAGTCTTCAGAGAAAAGCCTCTTTGAGGAAGTGACCTCTCCTATTTTTCTTCCCCCAAAATATTGCAGTAGGTATAAAACTGTACTACACACATTTAAAAGATGGATAAGAAACCAGTTGAGAATTTAAAATATTAGGATACCTAAAGATATTAGGACTTGCTAAAATAAGTTCTTAGTTTCCTGGCATTCACAATAAAAAAAGAAAACCATTTGTGTTGTATAGTTCCTATCTCTCAAAGAAAGAAAACATACTGAGTCATCCAAAAAGACTAATATGTCGACACTAGTTTCAAGAAGGAATTTATCATATGATTCTTTATATAAGGAACATCAAATAAACTAATAAACTATGATTTTCCTGTGTTCTTTTGTAGAAGATACCAAAATGTTCTTCAAATGTACATTCTCGGTATTGACCCACCATAAAGCACAAGATAATACAGTCTAGGTACCGACTTTCTGGTGATATAACCAAATGCAGTGACTGAAAGAGACCAGTAAATGGATGCCATTTAGACCCTCCCAAGTACCCGCTAACAACCGAACCTAAGTATTCTGAATGGTAAAATTTAATAGCTGAATTTTCTTTCTGCTAAATATCTACTGGGATGACATCATGTATCACTGATTGAAGAGAAATCCATACACTTCAGATAGAATATATAAAGGGATTTTCAACATTTTGTGATGAACAATTTAGTAGCTAACCTTCCATTCTTGTTCAAGCAAAATGACACAGAAGCAAGCTATGCTGGTATCAGGGAAAAGGGTCAAAATGTTTCTCAATGAACAACAAAATGTTTGAACCTGTTTAAGCGTATGGCCAAGTATTTGGCTGAGACCACAGAATTTGACATCATAAAACACAAAGAAATTATTTTGCCTCCCACCAAAAAAAACCCTAAGTATTTCTATTACCAGTTGGCCACACTGACGACAAAAAAAAACTTCACATGGACTTTACTGTACTGAGAATTTCTTTCCAAGAAGAACTACATCATCATGAGTCTGCCTGGATGATTTATCAGCAAATGCACCATGTAGTTGAATGAACTAAGCTTTTATCTGGATTTATTTAATAAAGTCCCCTTAGAAATTAGACAATGACTACTAAATATAATGATTTTTGTTTCAGCATAATTGATGCTAGACTGTTCTTTCTGGTAACAAGCCTCCAAAAGGTTAGGCTGGGTCTTAATAAAGCAAATACAACCATTAGCCCAGAAGAGGGTGCTTCCCTTCCTTCCCATCTGCACTGATAAGTGGGCATGCATCCAATCCATCCACTCCATCCACTAGCTATACAGGAAGTATAGAATTTTGAACAAATTAGAACTGTTCTTCAGGGAAACTGTGTTTGAGTTAATAGGGCAAAGAAATTAGCCATCACAAGTGCTGATGGATTCTTTATGTCTCTTCTCCCCAGATAATGAGAATATGAATGCTGGGATGCTTGGAGGACCAGTCAACTAGAAGTATGACATGGGCTAAAATAAGTTTCTCTCCACCCAGGGAAGCTCTCCATTGACCAGAAGTAGAAGCGAGGGGAAAAGACAAAATGGATTATGAACTGTGGCCTACTTCACCAAGTTCATTTGCCCTACATAGATTTCTCCTAATGGCCTAAGAGCATCAGATACGCAAAAGGAAAAGGAAACACCCTCTCCTTATGACTTTTGAGTGGTTTGTTCTCCTTTTTTTAAAGTTTATTTATTTAT